TTGTACTTTTAACACACATAATTAACTGTTAACACAGTCACGGTTCTGTCACTCCAGCCCTTCGCCCGTGGTCTGCCAATAAATGCTGTTAGCTTAGCCGTGACGAAGGAGACCGTGCCCAGCTCTGCAGTTCATCTCATTTCCTTGCTCGTCCCAGCCAGGCAGGAATCCAGCCTGAGATCCCTTTTGGTATAGCCTCATCCCTCCATTTGGATCTTCCTTGCTGTCTTTGCAGTGTCTGTTGTTAGTAAGTTTTCCCTTGAGTAGGCTATGGCATTAAACCATGGAGACCATGCTTCCTTCTACCTTAGCTTTTATGGTCAGTGTATAGAAGTGGAATATGAGTTCATTTTCCCAATACAATCCAATATATTTTTTTCCCCATCCCTGGAAGTATTTAAAAGACGTGTAGATGCAGCACTTAGGGACATGGTTTGGTGGGCATGGTGGTGTTGGGTTGACGGTTGGACTCGATGATCTTAGAGGTCTTTTCCAACCTTAATGATTCTGTGATTCTATGATTATTATGGAATATTTTTACGTATTTTTGGTGTCAGCAGGCTGTAGAAGCAGCTGACTTGTCACAGTGCCCTTCCTTATGAAGGTGTCATTTTTTTCCTCTTTTTTTCCTTCAGTTCACTTATCTACAACTTGTCAGAAATAGTTAAATGCTGTGATTGCTTTGGCCTCCCTTCAATGGGCATTTACCCAGCTCATTAATACAAGAGTAGCTCCCTTGAGCTCTGTTTCCACTCAGACCATTTGACAGGGCTCAGGTAGAGTTGCTAAGGTACGCTCAGCAATGCTTTGAGGAAAATGAGGAACCCTGATGGGCACAAGTTTGGGAGGGTCCTGAGTTGGCTGTTTTCTAAAACTCAAATCGTGTTGCTCAGGTCCATTAGGTTTTGCCTATTAACATTAAAAATATTCACATTTATCCCCAGGTATTTTTACAGTCCCCTTTACTCCCAAACTGGCACGGGCAATGCTGCTATCCGAGATAAATGAAGTGTGTGAAGACAGGCAGTTTAAAGGCGTTGAGGAATGCAGCTGTTTCAGACCTCTTACATCTCACTCGACTCTCACCTGATTTGTTAATGGACATGTTTTTCCCTGTAGGACAATAACGCTTTTCTCGGTGACGTTTTATAAAGGACCTTCTAAACCTCCTTTTGTCCCTTTGGGTAAAATCTGTTGAATTGGCTTCTTTTCTGGTGCCTTTCTATTTTCCCTAGAGAATCTGAGTTGGTTCTTAACCCTTTCTGTCCTCCAGGCCTTACAAACCATACGATAGAAGCTCTTATGAGTCTAGACACAACGTGGGCAGATGGTAGGTTCACTAGGGAGAGGCTTGTCGCTATCTAAAAAGATTGGGTATATAGGCGAAGAGAAGAATATTTGCTCATTTTAAGTACGAGGAGCTAAACTAGCAGCTTGCAGAGGGGTGTACGGTGAGTTTGTGACACCACCGGGAATTGTCGCTGGATCTCCTGGGGCACCGGTGATCCTTACGCTGTTCGCAGGACTTCTCCTCGGACCCAAGGATTTGCAAAGGTTTCCAAGTCTCCGGCCACCCTCGGGTCGCAGGTGCATGTCACCATCAGTGGTGGCAAACTGGGGACCGGAGAACAAAGATCCCCTCCGGTGTGACACTCATTACACCAGGCAGGCGGCCACATCCCTGGTGTAGCCGCTGACAAAATACTTTAATATTGAAACTTACTCCGTGGTGGCATGAACATCTGGGATGGTTCCTGCGCTCTTTGATTTATCCCGACAAGCTACGAGCGTGTTCGCTGCACATTGCCTTTGAAGTTTGTCACAGCCTGACACGCACCGTTCCCGTGATGCCTCGCAGAGCTCAATCAATGTCCTTCCCCGGCTGCGGGAGGAAAACATGCTGAGCCAGCCTTGCAGGCTGCTTCAGCGGTTGGATACCTTATCCTCATACTGAAAGAGCCCTTGGAGCAGAAGGTCTGTCTGACTTTTCATTTCTTGTTTTCCCCCATTTCTCACGACGTATTGTTTCTCGTTGCTACCCGCCCTGCTACATTTCAGGTGAGTTACAGGTCTGTGCTTAGGAGGGGCATTGCGTTGGTGTTGCAAATGTGATTTTTTTGCAAAGAAAAATGTCTTCATTCCGTAGGTATTGATGAAGAAGAGTATTAATTTAAAACCTGCTATAGATTAATGTGGGACAGCATAAATAACAACTGGGTGCTATGAATGATGAATCGGAGAAAAGATTTGAACTGTCACTACCACACAGGGAGTGTTTTACAGGAGACGAGGTATTTTCTGTCATTCCTTCATTTGCTTTGCTTAACGATACCCCTCCAATCTTAAAAAATCATCTTCTGCTAGACCGTTACCAAAAAAGAGGAAGCACATTTGAAACTTGCTTTGAAACAGTACTCCTAACGTTAATTCAAAGCATGGTTGTTATTGTCCTGCTCAGAAAGCTGCTTTTCTGCCCAGCTTCCCTGTGATCCCTTTAGCTATATCTGATACTGAAGGCTTGAAATCTCCAGATTAGAAATTAAATTCCACCTCTGTGGCCCAGACCTGATCACCCGCTGGAGTCACAGCAAATACGTTTTCCTCTACAGTGAGCTCTTCCAGCTAAAGCTGTTGCTTTTCGGTCAAGATTGAACTCTTTTGGAGGAGAAGATAATTAATGCCACACAATACAGGCGTAAGAATAATTAGTGACTTGAGGATGAGTAGGGATTATTCAGACTGATGGCAGGCCCTGATCTGGCAAGGATTTAGGTGCTTGTTTTTTTCTTGCATGTGTTAGCGCATAGGACAGTCGGAAAGGCTCTGTCTCGGGCTGATGGGGGGTTTAGGGTGGCCGTGACCGTGGCCAAAGGCGGTGAGCTGTGCCGTCGGGAGAGCTGGGTGAGATGCAGCACTTAGGGCATCAGACAGCAATTGCTGCTGCTACGTTGGGTATAAACCGCAGCGTTTCGGGAGCGGACACGTGTGCTGCTCGGGTGTCTGGTACAGGAACAGCAGCCTGGGGAGGGAAGGGAAGGAAAGGGGTTTCCCATTGGGATTTCTCATGGGATTTCCATTTTATTTTGCAAATGTGAAAGCTTGGGGTGACTAGTCCCAGGCCTGTGCTAGGAGGCGAGGACTGAAGAGCCTGAAGGGAAACTGTCAGAAATCATGATTCAAGTCTGATCGCTCTGAAAACGTCAGTCACTGAGGTGGGCACTGAACTGCTTGGGTGTCTTTAATTGTGCTGCTCACAGTCGGTCCCCTTTTGAACGTGATAGAATTGAACAGCAGAGTCTTAAACCCCCTGTTTTGGGCTTTTCAGTGCTCTATTATAATGGTGAAATCCAGAAATGGAAGGTGAGTGTAGTTTATAGATACACAATTTTTTCAGTGAGCTCTGAAACAGCTTCTAACAATTCACTTTATTAGCTGGCTTTTCAGCAGTACAAAATGTGACCATGATCATCTCAGTTTAGTTTAAAACGTATCTATGTTGTGACAGTGCGTGGATTATGTGGAGACTCGTATTAGCCTGGTGGATTTTCATACTGGTCACATGCAATGTCATGGTTTAGAGTCTTGTTTCTTATTATGAGCTTTGATTCTTCCCGCAAGAGCTTCCAGCGTCATTTCTGCTGATGGATGCTGCTTAGGACAGACGTATTTTTATCCCCTTACAGTTAGACTGGATCAAACGTCTTTTTCCATGTAGCTCAAGTTTCCGCAGTGGAGTTACTCCTAGTTTACTACTCCGAGAAGAAAACTGTAGTCATTTTTGTGACCTTCTTTAGCAGCAGTTGAAATCTTTCTGGCACGTGTGTGTGGGATCCATTAACTTCCACTTCCTACCAATTGTAGGAATTCATGCTTGTAAACAGTATAACAAAAAATAATGCAAATAAAAAGAGGCAGAGAGAAAATCCAGCGTTTGGTCATTTTTTTTTTTTTTCCCTATCTGGAGAGAGAAGCTGAATCAGTGAGGTGTTGAAACTTGCAGGGCGTTTGTTTCTGGCGTCGATAAGGATCTCTCACGTTCTTATATAAAATGCTAAATTAACAGTAATCGGCTTCCACGACTTACAGCCCCGCTAAGCGCATAGCTTGCCTTTCTCTCAGGCCTTCTCTGAATTCACAGATCTGAAGGCTTTTTCCCTGTGATCCAAGAAAGCAAAATCCCTGACAAAACTAATGACTTGGGGCTCCTGCGGCATTTTTAAAACCTTTTCTTTTTCCCCACGAGTGGCTGCCTAATGTGGCTGGGATTTCAGTGACTGTTCGCATTATTTTCTCCCCGCGGTTGGGGATATTCAGCGTCATTAGCCTGCCTGGCTGATCTGCACAGCGGTAGCTCTCCAGTGAGTTTCTCCACCAGGTTTCTCAGTCCACATAATCTAGACGGTTTATTGCCTTACGTGTTGGGCAATGGTACACAACATAGGATTTAAAAGCATTTTCAGGTCCTTATATCACGCCTTATGCTGTGATGTTGTGGCAAACGTATAAGACACATGAAGGACGACAAATTTCTGAGCTGGTAGTAAGCAGTATTGTTCTCAGCTGAGACCCCTTCAGAGCAAGCAGCGACCAAACAGCGGGGCAATTGCCTCCACGTCCTGGAAAGCAGCGGAAAATTAAAAGCTTCTGTAGCTGTAGC